AAATTTAGCTATGAAACAGCGCTTTGAAAATAGTTCTTAGTATACATGACTGGCATTATCTTTGAGATAAGCTGAATTAAATTATGTAAATATGTTGCTTTCTCGTACAGTATCCTGAAATCTAAAGATTAGCTTGATCAATGTTTCGTATACAAGATTATATTGTTTGTTAGATACATTAAAAATTTCTCTGTAGTTAAGACGTTTAAAATGTTAACGCCTGATTTGAAGGGAAAAAAGACTTTTGCTTAAATAAATCATGGTTAGTTAAAAGCTATTTATTTCTTTCCAAAATGCACTTAATTTTATAAAGTTTCTTCTCTGGTTTGCTGCATTTTGTTATGTTTAATTGCAAAATTAATTTACTTCTTTTACAATAATGCTTCCATTAAATATTTAGGGGGGATTTTTTATGATGTTTTTTTAGTAATTGCTAAGTTTGATTCAAAAATTTAAAATTATTAATTCAGATCTGTAACCTAAATCACGCGCACATAGAGAGAGAGAGAGAGAAAGAGAGAGAGAGAGAGAGAGAGAGGGAGAGAGAGAAAAAAGAAAAATACTTTAAAATAAATCAGCCTTTAGTATTCAAACAGTTTTGCTTGTAATTATTAAAATAAGAATCGTAAAAATAAGTCGTAAGTAAAAATTAATTTGCAGAGCGTCTTTATTGAATTGAATGAAAAATAATGATGGGGAGAATTTAAAATAGAAATATAGCAAATATTACTGGCAATTTTGTTTTGCTTTAAAAACACTAAAGATTTGGACGAAATATTAAAGATCAATATTTTAAAATAATTAACTAGATAAATCCGTACAATAATTAATTATTCTGTCCTTCCAAATAAAAATAAAGTTTACAGTTAAGAACACTTCTTTACTTTCATGGGTTTGAAATCTTATACAACTGGCATGATTAAAAACTTTAACACACACACATATATATATACGGTTTTGTAACCATTTTCAGTTGGGGTTGTTCCAAAACCGTAAAAAATAAATTTAAATGGACATTGAAGTTACGTTTTGCTAGGCTTTACCATAGGTAATGGACATTAAAGTTAGGTTGTTGTTGAATTGTGTCTTGTCAAGTAAACCATGGATTAGGGCTTAGTAAATTATCGCGTGTTGCCATCTATCGTAAGAGATGGGAAGTAGTAGACTTTTCCTGTAAAGTTCTGTGTTGCTGTCATTTATTTGAGAATGAGAGCTTCATATTCCAACAGTCCAGGGTCACTAACTGAGAAGTGCAAGACACTGAAATTCCTCATATGCTTAAGGAATGCTTCAATAAATATTGTGTTGTCAAAGCTGGGAATCCAACCCCTTTTCAGCCAGTCATGTGATTGACGGATTTGCCCTCTCATCTAAAGTATATACCATGGTTAAGTGGCTTCATAATTTGTTCACCACAATCTGTTTACTATAAGATCATTAGGCATCCGTTGTTTTGTTAGACATCCGATGATGGAAAGTAGAAGCAGGAATTCGTAATTCTTATCACATGGCATAGCTTCTAGCTTTCGAAGAACATGTGCTCGATTCTCATTGGCATCGATGAAATCCTGGCTGTTTAAATTAATGATTTTTATCACAGTTAAGTTTAAATATAAGCTTTTTCGTTCTTATTTGGTTGGTATGGTTAAGTATGGTTAAAATATCGGTCAAATGAATTGTAATTTAACCAATTTTCTGAGAAATTTCTAACAGAGTCCCAAAAAATGTTTTTTTTTTAGTTTTAAATGTTTCCCTAATATTGATCTATTAAGCACCACATTTTCACATAATTATGGGTCTTAAAATAGATAGTTTTGCAATTATTTTTTGAATCAGGAATTATAATATTTCGCCCTCCCTCAAATTACCTATATTATCTCTTTTCTTCATATTTTATCTAATTGATTATTTAAAAAAATTATTGGTGTAGTGTTTTAATATTTCCCACATTTCTAAAATATTTCCTGAAGCAAAATTTTTTTTTTTATCAATACCATTTTTCTATTTTGAAATACCCATCATTTTTTGTTCAATTTGATAAATGCCTTCTCCTAATTAATTTTTTTATTTAAGATGTATTTTTAGCAAATAGGAGCAAAACTGTTTGAATAATAAAGGCTGATAATAAGTTTTGAATTCTAAAGTATTTTTCACACTTTGTCTCTTTGTGAGTCAGGTTACAGATCTGTACTAATAATTTAAAACTCTTGTATCAAACTCATCAGTTACTAAAAAAGCATTACCCTAGATATTTGAAGAAATCATTATTTGATAAGTCACTGTTAGAATTTTTATTCTAAAATGGCTATTTTACTGTCACTTTAGAAGGAAAATTCTAACAGTGTATAAGCAACTGTAGTGAAATGGAAAAATACATGATGGCACGGAAGCATCCGATTTACTTTAAAAATTATTTTATATGCTTAATTGTTCTAAAGATTTATTAGAGACTTGCCAAATTAAGGTTATGAATTGTGCAATACCAGTAAAATTGAATTCGTTTAAAAGAGTTACGATTAAAGGTTAAAGAAATTGCTTTTCTTAAATATTTTGGATTATTTGCCTAAAAAATTCATTAAAAATAGATATTATGCAATGTATTAAAGTGATTGTGCTTACTTTTCTTTTTATCTTTCTTTAAAATAAAAATACATAAGCTTGTGCATTAAAAGTGATAGTTTAGTAATACATAAAGTTAAGTTCAGAATCTGGAAGTATGTGTTTTTGAAATCAGAAATTTTGGTTTCCATACATGTCGAATCAACAATATTGTTTCGAAGAGAATACTATAGATAGGTTTTGTTTCTTTTTCCATTTTAAAAATAGAACCTGAAACAAGTCTGAATAATTTAGTATTTTTTGCGTATTTCTTTTAGCTTAAGAAATGCATTTTGAATAAAAATGTCAGCTACTTAAATATGAAAAGACATATATGATATATTTAAAATGTAATACCTTAAGATAAGCACAGATACATGCATTAATAAAACAGTCCAGGCTTCAACCGTAGGTCTAGTGTTTCAATGCTTACATCTATTTTTTTATTATTTGATCACACTGTTAGAAATTTCTCGGTAAATATGGTTAAATAGCAATTTATTTGTCATTTTACCATTTTCAACGAAAACAATCAAATAACCATAAAAAGATGATATTCAAACTATTAAGTGTGAGAAAAAAGCGTTTATTGATTTCTTCTTTCTATAGCTTAACCGCCAGAAATCTCCATGCCAACTAGGCTCACTTTATATAGCTACTTGGTTCTGTACAGCTGAGTACATATTATAGCTCTGAGGGCTAATTGGTCAATCTCATGATCAGCTGAATCCCAGCGGTGACACTGCAGTATTTCTCCCTTCAATACATGAGGAGTTTACAGTGTCCTACACTCTTCAATTTTTATCTCAGCAGTGGGAAAACGAAACTATCCTTCACTCATAAATGGTGCAATATCAACAGAGCTCCAATGTTCAGTTAAGCTTAATTTTCATGGCTTTGAAAACAAAAAGTTGCAAACGGTTACAAAACTGTACTGTTTTGTATTCATGGTTTCTTAACCGTACCAGTTGCAAACGGTTTCAAAACTGTAAAGGTAAAAAATGCTCCTAACCATAAACTTTATGGTTAATCGGATGGCCAGACAGCTGCCAGTAATTTTACCGTAATTTCAGAATGTAAATTCTAACAGTGCAAGTATAATGGCATGTATAATTGGCATAATCGAATGATCATGTAAACAAATATTTTAACTGTAATCTATTTATGATATCATTATTGCTATAATTTAAGAACTGTCTCATGAAAATTTTAAGTTCCTTACAATAAATAATTTTATACTGAAGTATAAGTCTGCAAATTCGCTGTAAAAATTGTAGTGGAACATATCTCCGAATTTTGTGCTAATCTACCCAAAGAATTGCGTACAGGAATACTTTTCTTCAAGTTTACATTATACTAAGCGTTCATATAATACGCTTTAAAGGTTGTAGTTAAATCTAAGCACCAATAATTGAGAATGCTTAGATTAAACTTATGTTCATTCATATCATTCGTGAATTATCTTCACCTCCGAAAACACTAATTTTTGTGTACTTAGGAATAGGCCAGGGGTGGCGAACCTTTATGCACCAACGTGCCATTTTTTTCAAAAAATTGTTTAATGAGGTCATAGACGTGCCGTCAAATCATTTTGACTTTATGATTATTGGGAAAATAATAATACTAAATACTATCAACTCAAAACTCTTTATTTACTATGAAAAAAAAAATATTGCAATGTCTCAGTTGTACCCGTATTCAACTTAAAGTAACATCAGTGTGACCTCTGTTGTTGCAGATTAGATGACAAATAACTTATATTAGGTTGTAAGATGTTAGTTTAAGCAGGACTGTTAAATTTGTTTTGCTAGTTATTTATTGTTAGCTTGTTTTTTATGGTTATTAATTGTTTTTTGGAATTAATTGTATATTTTTTTGTTAATAATTGTTTATTCGTTTTTGCTTTTTGTGAATTTCAATTTAATTGTTAATACACTTTATAGTAAACTTTGTGATCGGTAGTGTGCCCAGAATATTGTGTCACGTGCCATAAATGGCACGCGTGCCATTGGTTCGCCATCCCAGTAGATTGTTTAAAATCGAGTGGCACGAGTTTTTTTTTGTTTTTTTGCACAAATCTCTGCATCTACAAGAACAAAATTTCGCTGTAGCACAATGTATGTTTTAGTCGTGTAATAAGATGATTTATTCTAATTTTTAAATATTTTTCAATTGTGTTAAATAAATTTATAATTCTTCATTTCTATACATTTCTGTTCTGTTAAGTCTAATTCGAATTAGTCTGCTTTTAATCGTTTTCTTACATTGAGCGGACAGTTTTCAAAGAGTAAAAGATTCACAAACACATCAAAAAAATTGTGTTGATTAATTTTCATCGTATACTGTGAATTTGCGTTTTAATCAAGTTGCATTTTGTTTAAAAATCAGAAATATGCAAATACCTTGTACGGCCATTGGTTTTTCTGCAGATACTGTTTGGAAGGATGGTGCATCTGCCGATACTTCACATTTATAAATTCCAGCTGTTAAGTCACTAATGTCTCGTATATATACAGAACCATCATTTGATCTTCCAATCTAAAGAAATTAAAAAAAAAATCTATTAAAAAATAATACATTCTTTCGAGAAACTGATGCATTAGAACTATGAGTAACATTAGGATATTTACATACATACATTTAAACTCATTATAGGAAATAATTAAAATTAGCATAAGTGAAACGAATATAAAATTTTATTTGCTTTCAATTTATTATATATATGTGTATCGAGAAATTCCATTGTAGTAGACTGAAATTAATATTAAAAAAAAACACTATTTTTTTAAAAATATATAAGAAAAAAATAAATTTAAGCATTGCTACATTTAGTATGGGACTCAAGAAACCAAAAAAGTGTATTTATAATTAGTAAAAGAAATTCGCGAAATTTTGAAGGCTGAAAAGATGCTGTCGTAATAAACTAACAGAAATGACCTTCTTTAGATACTTTTATATATAAGTTTCTTACTAATAAAATAATGGATATTTCATTCCAAAAATTACGTATTTCTTTTAATATCAATTTAATAATTCCAAAGTATAAATTTAACTGATGCCACAAAGTAAATAAAAGAGAATTCTTATCTGTAACAGAGAAAATATCTGGAAAAATGATTAAATTTTAGCCTATTTTTTAGTAAATATTACAATTGATATAGAATAAATATTACAACTGATGTAGTGATTAACTGGCCAATAATACTTTTCGTTCAAGAATAATTATCTTGTTGAGATCTGACGACTTCCGCAAGTCTATTAGATTTTTTTTTATAAAATACAAAATACCAAAAATAACTTATATATGTGCATGTACGTATATATGTGTGTGTATATATATGTGTGTGTATATATATATGTGTGTATATATATGTGTGTGTATATATATATGCATATATAAATATATGTGTATTTATGTGTATTTCCTATATCTATTTCTGTATTCAAATATTCAGGTTTGGGACTTAAAGTTTTGGACCTTATTATATAAAAGATGAATCAGTAACTATAGATTAGTGAATTGATTTTGTTTCTTCAGACTTCTTTTTCAGCAGATTTCATACTTGTCTTGGTTCAGCAAAGGCAGTTAATATCCTTAAGAGTTGAGCGAAATTTCAGTTTCTGGCTACCTGAAGGTCACGCCAAATTTACAACGCACATATGTTGATTTCTTTAGGTACTGTTTATTAGTATGCATTTAAAAAAAGTGCGTAACATTTTTTACGTAAGGAATATATCTTCAAAACTTAACAAGTCAAGTATCCAACTACCGTCTGACTTTGAAGTTAGGTAGTTTAATTTACAATTTTTGAAAACCACCAAGGTTACTAATTCTGCCATGCAATTGAGAAACCAACGTAAGCGACAAAAAATTCAAAATTGAGATTTTTATATATTAGGCATCTATGTATACTAAGCCACATATTGCAAAAAAAATTAAAAGTAATTTTATTTTATCAGTTTTCTGAAACTCGATTTTAGCGTTCTTAGCAATAGAAGGAAAATAGTTGTCCTACCTCTTTTCTTGGAATCAATCGTGAAGCACGTAAGTTTTTTTTTAATTGCATGGCAGAATTGTTATAGGATAGCTTTAATTTGATTTTTTAGTTAAGTTACTTATACGAATTTGAATTTTTTTATATTTGCAAAGTTAACTAGAGCAGCCGATAACATCTGCCTAATTTCATAATTAGACTGAATCTGATTAAAAATCAATTTTTAAAAAAGTAAAGTCAGATAAATTTTTTTTATTTATTCATTTTAAACTTCGTTAATTTAAGTTTTTTTTGCATGTTTTGTTTTCAAAACGCTACGAGCCATTTCTATTTTTAATATTTCCATTAATCATAACTTAAGAAGTAGTAATTTAAAAACAATTATATTGTTTTCCACAATAAATAACTACACATTTAAAGAGAAAATCAGGCAAAAGAAACACTGTTTTGTTGAATTTATTTAGTATAGTAAGGCAGTCCATTTAGTCTGGCTGTTAAGGGTATTATTGTTTAAAATATTTTTCTGAAATTGGTTTTGTTCCAACAGCTAGAGATTTTTTTTATTTCTTATAAATGGCCTTTTTAGTCTATTTTTATCGTTAAAAACGTTATATATGACAGGGGGTCGCGTAAACGTTGTGATTAGCTTTTAGAGGAGTTAGGGCACATCTACAGGATTTGAATTGCATTCGAACCCATGCCACCCAGAAATCTCGGTATGTACGGCTAGGGGCGTGGTTTACATGATATTTTATTTGATTATTGATTGACCTGGTTTATATAATATTTTTTGAGCGAATGATCATTTGAAATCTTGTCTGATTCTCACTGTTTTTTAGAGTCTTCATGCTCACGCTTTGTGACTTCAGCCTTATGCTCTGAGTATGAAGTGATTATCGAAAAACGTAAAATAACTTCAATTTGATGCAATTTTTTCCAATTTATTTCAAAAATATTAAATTAGTATTTTGAAATCTCATTTTTACAATTTCGAAGCATAAAATAGTTTTTGATTTATTAAAAATTTAATGAGAATGGCATTATCTTTATTTCACAACATGCCATAAAACTTGCCTAAATCCTTCCTTGATTTTAGTATTAGTCATTATCTAGATAATAGTCATTATTCTAAATATTAGTTCTTACTCTAATTAATTATTTTTTATTCTAAATATCTAGTTCTTATTCTAAATAATTAGTCAGTAGTCTAAAATAATTAGTAATTATTTTACTCAGTCATTATCTAGTTCAATGGTCAATAAAAAATATGTGATAAAGCTGTTGATTTCTAAATGAAATAGTACCTTAAAAATATATATAATGTATCCATAGAAGTTCGGATAGATTTTGTTTGATCTACTTTATTTGCCATATTGAATTTAAACGTTTGAAAGTTTTATTTGATTAAAATAGAATTAAAAAACCCAGGTATTCAATGTCAGAGGAATTTCACATCGAGTGGAAGAAAGAGTGAAACCTTACTTTTGCTTCTTGGCAAGATATTTTGGCGATGAAAAGGCTTTATTTGAAGTCTGTTTTAGAAAGACGCATTCCGTATCTCATTTAATACAAATGAATTGCAAGCTTGGAGGACAAAAAATTGGTCATTGGAAAAAAATCATGAAAAGTATAACTTAATATCGTGTAACTCCACAGTTTGATTTGTTAACAGCCTAGATTCAGCTAAAAAGTGAGCTACAAAACTTTGCAGATACGTCTCATTCATGCTTTATCATCAATGCCAGCATTTGCAACGTACCAACATGTGCCACAGATTAAGTTTGATGGTCAGGTCAAGTGATTTTGCAAGCCAATCAGGATGTGTGTGTGGAAGTTCTTGAAACCAATCACATATATTGTTCCGGCCCGATGAACTAGAATGTCTTGAAAAACAGTGTCTAAAAGAGAACACCTGATTATGAAAATTTTAAATTTTCATGATAAGAGTTACCATGAAGCATTGCAAGAAATGGATACTCAAACTTCATGAAATTTTCTTCGTTTTGACGAATTAGTTTTTTGGTATACGCTCCGAGTAAAAAGTTCGTGAAATTAACGAAATAACTGTCATCACTTCTTTGAAGAAACAAATTTCGTCACTATTAAAGAAATGTTTCTTTATTTTACTTTTTGTATTTCTGATTTTTTCAACAAAAAAAATTCCATTTTTTTAAAGAAAAAAGAAAAGAATCGTAACGCCTAATGTATCTAACTTTTCTAATAATCATGGGCACCATATAGGCAGATCAATGTCATCTAAACAACACAAAAACAGAGAGATAAATTACACCCATGGCCGAAGCGGGATTCGAATCCGTGATCGTCCTGTTTATAGTTCTATTTCTTGACCACCATTCAGGTGGTCGACTCGTTCCGGCACTTTAATTTTGATCGTATAATTTTTATTCTAGTTTAGTCATTCTAGTTAATAATTTCCCAAAATGATGAGGTTTCGAGCTGGGGAAATATTTTCGTCACAAATTTAAAAATTTTCGTTTTGTCGCAAGTGACATGATTTCGTGACGAAATAATTCTCAAAATTAACAAAATATAAGATTGCTGAATCGTCAAAAGTGAGAATTTTATTTCTGAAACATTGAGTGTGTTCTATCCAAAATAACAAAACACTCCTAAGAGACTCACGGTATTAAACTTTGCTTTTCATGTTTTATATAGGAGTCCTTATATTTTGTTTAGTGAGATTATAAACAAATAATCTAAGTTAATTATTTATTTTGTATGAAAACTAAATAATATGCAAATTTGATATTTCCAAAAGATCCAATGCATCAGTTGACCTTTTTTCAGAAAACAAAATATTCAATCCAAAGAATTGTATTTAAAAGTAATTTTTCCAGGAATGACAGAAATCTCAAACCTAAAAAATAAAATAACGATCAATAATATTTTTTTCGCAATTTTTCCTGATTAAGGTATTTTCTAGTCAATGTGTATCAAAGAATTTAATGGAAATTAACTAAGAAAAATTGAGAAAAGAAAAAAGATGAAAGTTTTTATACATTTAGATATTTTGCACAAAAATGCCTTTATTTGAAACATAACAAAAATGTTGAAGAATAATCGCTTATCTCCATCGAAAATTCTTTTTCGACTTCATCATAAATCACAAAACATCAAGCTGTCTTAGCGTACGGATTATTTTGTTTTCGAGGGCATAAAAAATTCAGTTAGCTTAAAACAAGGTAATCTTTTCTGCGGTTAGCTTTAAAAATCTTTATTTTATTTTTCAAAAATGTAATTCTTCATGTTTTATCCTTTTTTTTCAGCTTAATTTTAATTCAATTTTTGTTATGTTTGTTTTACGTACAGCGGATGGAAGGAAAAAAAATAACACAGATAAAATGGTAATGAGATTTGATTGTTAAAAAAACTTTGATTTGCTTAAAAAGATTGAATTAAAATGTTTTTTTTTCTTTAATTATTTGACAATTTTCTAAAAAGCGTAGGTGTCTTAGAGAATAAAAAAAAATGTTGAATTTGTTTTGATTCACAAGTTCTTCTTTATATTTTAAAATTGAAATT